AAAGACCCCACACCTCCTAGATCCGGTCCGGGGAACCTGCCAGAGTAGAGTCATCAAGTGTCGTCTGCAAAGTCAGCGTACCGAAAGAGTCAGGAACGTTACCGGAGATATCTGGCGTCATGCGGGACGGGAGGATGAGTGAGCTCGCCCTGATGCTCGTCAGCGAGAGCAGGAAGTCGAACAACCTAAATCGCTAGTCTAGCGCGAGCAGCCGGTGCAGTTTGACCTTCTCAAAGGCCGATGGGGCCACAGAACTTGACAGCACAAAAGCTCTGATCAGAGAATAAATCAAACGACCAAGGTAAACACGAGAGGAAGGCGACACTTACCGGTGAGCTGGACGTTGACATCTGGCAGGATTGTCCAGAAGAAGTACCTATCGCGCCTATCGCGGCTCTCCGAGCGGTCCCGAAGAATGGGGCAACGCAACCGTCCCTGGTATGCAGGGTGTAGTGAAAGGGCGTCAGTTGTGAGGTTGTGAAGCCGATACGACAACAACACCATCTAGCCGCTGATACGGATCCCAGACAGGTCCGAGAGGGCCTGATAAGCAGAGAGGAGCCCCCATGCCGTGGGATGAAGCTGGCTGGGGCAGATGCCGACGAGGTGGCAGAAGTCGACTAGCATCCAGTAGAGGCTGCCTCGGAAGCCATACAGGATGTAGTCATCGTAAATGGCAATACAATAGCGCGGCAGACAATCCGCCCGGTCCTCCTCGCCAGAAAAATAAGGGCAAGGCCGGAAGAGGGAGGGTCATTCATCCTGAGGACCCTCTCCAAGGAGTCTGTAGTGCAAACCGACGGAGGCCGGTCACAAGGGACAGCCGCCAAAGACGTTCGAGCGATGCTCTCAACCTTACCATGTGAAGCGCGCACGCCACTCGGCGGACGATGAATTTGAAGTCCACATCTCAATTGAATGAGAAGAGGGATGAAAAGCAGAAAAAGAGAGTTTTAGGAGTAAGGAATATGCGTATCACTTTAGAAATGGAGTAACCATGTGCGTGGATTCCGCGAACTTTATAGAAGAAGAAGAAATCAAAGCAGCACATGTAAAGAATCGCGTCGGTTGGGGAAAGCGCCAAAAGTCGAAGGTAGTATCGTAATTATTAGTCTCTCAAGCCGCGCAGCCGAGATGACAAGCATTTAATACGGGGAGAGACAGGTGGCCCGTCGCAGCAGAAAAAGCCGCCGATGAGTCTTGAGAAGTGGGGCACGCTGCGCGATATGACGTGCTGCGCTTCGAGTCACCAGGGGCTTGCCACATGGACTGCACTCGCCCTACACCAGAGGCCCGCCCAAAAAATCCCAAATGACGACCATCAGGTCTGCCAAAGCCACAGGAAAATTGGCTGGCGAACAGACGCAACGGTATAAAACTCGCACACATACAGGAAAACCGTCATCCTCCCCTGGTCGGGAATAGCTTCAGGGGTTGGTTGCACAAGGGCCATGCGCGTGGGTGAAACGTAACCGCACGAGCATCTCTAGCCCCACGGCGGTTTATACGGAACCCGCGGCTGTGGACGAAACGTGGCCGCCTAGAAAACTATCTCAGCCCGCGAACGGCCCATGAGGCTACATCCCTTGCTTGCATGATTGTTTGATTTTTTGCTTGCATGATTGTTTGCTTTCTTGCTTGCATGATTGTTTGCTTTCTTGCTTGCATGATTGTTTGATTTCTTGCTTGCATGACTGTTTAATTTATTTATTGCATGATTGTTTGATTTCTATGCTCGTGTGATGATGTTGTTTTTTAAACTCCCACTTTTAGCATGCTTCTTCGCGGACTTGCTTGTTCTTCGGGGCACCATTCCTCCGAGAATTCAGGACTCCGGTCCAGCAGGCCAATTTGGTCCATCTTGCGCCAGCTCTCTCGGGGGACAGCACGCGCCCCTCGCGGACTTGCTCGCCCTCCAGGGCATCCTTCCTTCAGGATTATAAGTGTTTCGTCCTCTCAGACCTCCGGGTCTTCCTTGCCAGTCCCCGTGCTCCCCCCCCCCCCCCCCAAAGACACGCTTGCCACACAGGCACAATAGGAATTGAGGTCGCACACTCGCAGGCTTTCTTTTTTTATAATTTCCCCGACCTCTTCCCCCCAGGGTATATCGCAAGCACATTCTTAAAACCGAGAAACTTCCGCGTAAGCACAACCCGAAGACTGTCCATGCAGTAAGGAAGTCAAGGTAACGCCCTCAGGAAACGCCTTACTCCGCACCAGCTGCATTCGAGTAGCGTCTCCCCCTTGCGTTAGCGCTCCGCAACGCAGAGAACATCTGTTCAACAGCGCCACCTCTGGCCCTTGGGCCGGTGTCTTAGCTCACGTCGTTGCCTCATGTCGATCCCCATGGTCAAGACGGCTTCTTGTATAGTGCCTCACGAAACAAGAAGTAAAATCCCTCCGGGGAGATGTCCACCAATGGTCAAGCTATCAATTCTCCCGGGAGCGCCAATATCCTCATATCCTGAGCAAGTATTGTACTCCCCCGGATGGGTAACCCAGTCAGAGTAGAACCCAATCACCTAACTCTCCCAGCCTAGGGCGTACTCCTCTGGATACGTGACGAAGATGGGGTGAGTCCCTTATTATATATTTAGTCTGACCGTCTCACGGTTCGCTTCCCCCGGAAGTGTAATTCTTTTGGCCAATAACGTACTCCCCCAGATGCGAGTAAGGCCGGAGTAGACATCTATTAGGCTGCCCCATGGCTCACTTTTTCGGAAGTATAATTCTCTCGACCAATAATATACTCTCCCGAGACATACGAATAAGGTCGGGGCTGAAATCCTTCTTTCATTCGCTCCTCCGACTGGAACCGTACTCATTCACGATACGTTGCAAGGTCGGAGTCGATACCTTTTTCTTACTTCTCCGGAAGTTTAGATCTCCTAGCTAGTACCGTTTTCCATCGGAACACGTGGCACGGCCTGGATGAGTCCCTGTTTTAATACCGTCTTTGAGAATTTAGCTTCGCCTAGGCTAGTACCGTATCTCTCGGGATACGCGGTAAGATCATCGCGTCATTATGGCCTTTAATGGCGAAACACTTAGGGAATCAGATAATTTGTGCTTATTGTGCAGGAAACCCAAAGAGAAGATGACTCCTCGACTCATTTCTCAATCAGTCGAGAAGTCGGAGGCAACTGTTGGGACTGATTTTACCACCTCCAAGGGGAATGCGACGCGTAGACAGCCAACTACCTTAGACACTGACACAAGCCATGCTAACTTGGTCAAACAACTTTCGTGTATTGTTTCTGAACAGTTGGCATGCTTCCCCAAACACGCATGAATTGTTAACTTACCTACTTTCCTAACGTGGCGAATAGAAAAGACATAATAGGGAAGATATTAGTATTAAAAGAGAGAGATCCCCCCACCAGGATCGGAGAGAGGCGGAAGTGGAGAGTGACATAGCTAAAAACCACATATTTTTTTAATAGGACACTTTTTTATCCCAATCCAAATTGTACGTTAGAAAAAAAAATGATTTAACTCATTCCTATACAAACAACTTGGGTACTGAGTCATATTTTTCCTCTTGTCCCTATACAAAGACTTCAATTGTGTCGGTGACATAGCTAAACCACATATCTTTATTTATAGGACCCATCTTTATACCAATCTTTTCTCAAAAAAACTCATTCCTCTTTTAATCTTTTCATGGCGACCATGTTGGAATTCCTTATGCTTTTGCATTTTCTCTCGCTATGCTTTTGCATTTTCTCTCTCAAGAAAACTCACTCCTCTTTTATACCTGTATAATCAATATAACTACATATCTTTATTTATAGGACCACTTATCTTTATTTATTTATAGAACCCTTATTTTTACCAATCCAAATTGTACGTTAGGAAAAAAACGATTTAACTCATTCATATACAAATAACTTGGGCATGATTAACGGAGAGGCGGGAATGAACTCTTAAATAAAAAAGAAAAGAAAAAAATAAAATAAATATGAAGTGACATCAGTTTTTCTTTAAATCGATTCTAATAGTAGAAGCTGTAGAAACGATTTTATACAATTTTTGGACAAATGTCCTCTTATTATACCTTATGCTTTTTTCTTTTTAAAATTTATTTTTCTTTTTTCTTTTTTACTATTAAAATATAATTAGGAACTTCCAATCAAAAGATTTGCACTACTCATGCTCTTATACAAACTACTCATGCTCTTATACAAAGACTTCAATTAGTCTCAAGTCAAGTAGTGTCGGTGACATAGCTAAACCACATATCTTTATTTATAGGACCCATATTTATACCAATCTTTTCTCAAAAAAACTTATTCCTCTTTTAATCTTTTCATGGCGACCATGTTGGAATTTCTTATGCTTTTGCATTTTCTCTCGCTATGCTTTTGCATTTTCTCTCTCAAGAAAAGTCACTCCTCTTTTATACCTGTATACTCAATATAATTACATATCTTTATTTATAGGACCACATATCTTTATTTATTTATAGGACCCTTCTTTATACCAAATACCAATCCAAATTGTACGTTAGAAAAAAAACGATTTATAGGCACTGACTACTGAGTCATATTTTCCCTCTTGTCCCTATACAAAGACTTCAATTAGTCTCAAGTCAAGTAGTGTCGGTGACATAGCTAAACCACACTATCTTTATTTATTTATACCAATCTTTTCTCAAGCAGCTTTCTCAAGAAAACTCACTCCTCTTTTAATCTTTTCATGGCAACCATGTTGGAATTCCTTATGCTTTTGCATTTTCTCTCGCTATGCTTACTATGCTGTGTCACCTCCTCTTCAAGCTTCTTTACTGAAAATAACTATGTTGCTTGTCGTCATGACCAGATTCAGGCCCTTACACAGTTCAAGAATGAGTTTGACACCAGCAGTTGTAATCAAACTGCCCCATTCAATGGAGTGTGGTGCGATAACTCAACTGGTGCTGTCACGAAGCTGCAACTTCAGGCCTGTCTCAGTGGTACTCTCATGCCCAACAGTAGCCTCTTCAAGTTGCATCATCTTCGCTACCTTAATCTCTCCAACAACAACTTCATCTCCTCTTCACTTCCTTCGGAGTTTGGCAATCTCAACAGGTTAGAGATCTTGTCTCTTACCTCCAATGGCTTTCTCGGCCAAGTTCCTTCCTCATTTAGCAACCTAAGCCAGCTTTACCTATTAGACCTTTACCAAAATGAGCTCACCGGTAGTTTTTCACATGTACAAAATCTAACCAAGCTCTCTTCATTACGACTTTCTTATAATCACTTCTCAGGAACATTCAGTCCTTTCTGTGAGTTGCACCACCTCAAAAATCTTAAACTCGATCACAACCACTTCAGTTCCTCACTCCCTTTTAGAATTGGCAATCTCAACAAATTAGAGATCTTGTCTCTTGCTTCCAATGGTTTCTTTGACCAAGTTCCTCCCACAATTAGTAACCTAACTTTGTTAACCAAGTTGAGCCTTGGCCAAAACAAGCTCACTGGTAGTCTTCCACTTGTACAAAACCTAACCAAACTCTCATTTGTAGACCTTTCTGGTAATCACTTCACTGGAACCATATTTCCCCTCGTCAATATGCCTTTCTTATCTGATCTTGATTTGTCTACAAACAGTCTCGTTGGTTCTATTGAAGTTCCAAACTCTTCTAGGCTTGAGCGCATGTACCTTGCATATAATCATTTTGAAAGACAAATCCTAGAGCCTATCTCAAAGCTCATCAACCTCACACATCTCGATATTTCTTACCTAAACATAAGCCACCCAATTGACTTAAACCTCTTCTCCAGTTTCAAATCTTTGTTTTTCTTCGATATTTCTGGTAACAGTATATCTCCGGCCAGTTTAAGTTCAGATTCATACAAGCCATTGAACGTAGAGGTCTTATACTTGTCCGACTGTGGCATCACCGAGTTTCCAAATATCTTAAAGACCGTTGAAAACTTGAAGTCGATAAGGTTATCCTTCAATGGAATCAAAGGGAAAGTCCCTAAGTGGTTTTGGAGCCTTCCTTATCTGAGCTCAGTGAATATTGCAAATAATTTTTTCAACGGTTTGGAAGGTTCGTCGGAAATTCTGGTGAATTCATCAGTGCAGTTATTATTTATGAATAATAACAATTTTGAAGGAGAACTTCCTAATCTACCACTCTCCATCAGAGTTTTCTCTGTGGGTGCTAATAGTTTCACAGGGAAAATACCTCTTTCAATCTGCAATAGAATTTTGCTTAATGTCGTTGATCTAAAGCAGAACAACTTCACTGGTCCAATCCCCCAATGTGTTGGTAACTTTATGTTCGCGAATCTCCGCAAGAACAACCTGGAAGGAAGTATTCCTGATGTGTTTGCTGTTGGTGCTTCTCTACGGACACTCGACCTCGGTTTTAACCGAATAACTGGAGAGCTTCCAAGGTCTCTTCTAAATTGCTCCTCTCTACGGGTTTTAACTATCGATCACAACAGACTGAAAGACACATTTCCATTTTGGCTCAAGGTTTTACCGAATTTGCAAGTCCTTATCCTCCGGTCAAACAATTTTTATGGTCCTATATCTCCTCCTCGTCAAAGTCCTCTTGGATTTCCTGCGTTGCAGATATTTGAATTATCTGATAATAACTTTTCTGGAAGCTTGCCACCAAGATACTTTGTGAATTGGAAAGCATCATCATTCACGATGAATAAGAATGGGGATTTATATATGATGTACGAGAGAGACCTCAGCGGTTTGCTTGCCTATTTGTTTTTGGATATTATCGATTTGCAATACAAAAGTCTATCTATGGAGCAAGAACGTGTCCTTACTTCCTACGCCGCCATTGATTTTTCTGGGAACAGAATTGAAGGACAGATTCCTGAATCAATCGGCCTTTTGAAGGGACTAATTGCGCTCAACCTGTCAAACAATGCTTTCACAGGCCATATTCCTATGTCGTTGGAAAATCTTACCGAGCTGGAGTCACTAGACCTGTCAAGAAACCAACTCTCTGGAAACATTCCTAATGGACTAAGTACCCTCTCGTTTTTGGCGGTCATTAATGTGTCTAATAACCAGCTGATCGGTGAAATTCCACAAGGACCACAGATTACTGGCCAGCCTAAATCCTCCTTTGAAGGGAATGCATGGCTTTGTGGTCTTCCTCTTGAGAAACGTTGCTTTGGGACTATCATACCACCAATACAACAACCAGAGGAAGAAGACGAAGCCCAAAATGAAATTTTGAACGGGAAAGCAGTAGCGATAGGATATGGTCTTGGAGTGTTGTTTGGATTGGCAATAGCACAAGTAATTGTTTCATACAAGTTGGACCGGCTCGCCAAGATAACTGGTCTGACTAAGCGCAAAAACCGTTAGGAATGTTTCCATTTTGAGTTTGATCTGTTAATGTATGTCGTTGTTGGTTTTGTATTTAAGTTGTTGGTCTTGTATTTAAGCATTCCCTTGTGTTTCAGTGTTTGTCGTATTTTTCTATGATGCTTGTATTATTAAGCGCAAAATAGTTGTTGGTCGTATTTTTAAGCGCAAAATAGTTGTTGGTCTTGTATTTAAGCATTCCCTTGTGTTTCAGTGTTTGTCGTATTTTTCGATGATGCTTGTATTATTTCTTCTTCAATAAAGTAAGGATGTAATCGATGTATTAACAATATTTTAGAAATATTGAGATATAATCAATCTCGTAATTGATCATTCAGATAATCTGTAATTCTTTCATATCCATGTGATTTAAACGTCTTTCAAAACTCTAGATTGGTTTTTCTCTGAATAATACACAATATCTATCCCTTACATATCAGCCTGTTATATAAATTGTGGCCAATATCTACATTAACCAAACAGGAGTTAGTCAAACCGGTAAATTCAATAAAAAGAAACGAGGATGCTTCCAAATTATGTAGCTTTGTAATTTTATAACAAATTTATAAAGCTTCATATCTTATCTTGATTTAAACCCTAGAAGCTCTCGCGACATGTATTGTTTGTCATAATCTTGAAATCATAAACAACGGATGACATGAAAATCTAAGAAAAAATCACAGAGCCGAGATGAGGCCATATATTCTCAAATCTAAATCAGAACATAACGAAATGAAGACATGTCATAAATTCGTTTGGCCAAATACTATTAAACCAAACCAAACCAATCCTGTTTCATATTCACGCAAATCAAACCAAATCAAACTAAACCAAATCAAACTAAACCAAACCAAACTCATGATTCTATCTCTCCTCCTCTCATGATCCCTCAGGTGTGCCCTCGCTCTTCGCCTTCCTATTCTTTTACTTTGGAATATTACAGGATTATTGCTTAATAATCCATTCCCTGAATAATTGTCTGATTCACAATCTCTGAATTTCTGTGAATTACTTTTGAATTAACGCTTGCTTATTGATTTCTACAATATTTTAAACTTTTAATTGCTATTTTTGTTTTAATTTACAACCAACAACCATATTTTTGTCTTAGCTTAGATTCATTTATTAAGATTTGCAGCATGATACTTGGTCCTTGTGGATTAAATTTCTACTTTACTACAATATTTGTTGTGCACTTACAGTAATTTTATAGGGATAAAACTCTGTTTATCAAGTTTTGGCACCATTGCCAATGACTAATAGCGTTACTTATGAATCTAGGACTGAAATTTATTTTATGATTTACTAATTAGTTACATCTTTCACTTTTGTGGAGTTAGGTGTATGTAGAAAAGAAGTAAAAACTCTGACAACATCCTTAGTTTTAACAACATGAACTTGTAAAAGCAGAAAGAATTGACAATAAGGAAACTGAACAAAAGTCGAATCAAGTCTCAGTGGGTGATAACATCGACAACCAAGCATTGGTAGAAGCACAGGCTAACTCAACTGCAGAGCTTCAGCATGTGCAACAACAACTACAGAGATTGCTGCAACAATAGCAGCAACTAGCTATAGTGAGGATATAGACATACCTTATACTTTATACAAGAATGGAGCTGCCATATGTGCACCAACCATTGAAAGAGCAGACTATAAGATCAAACTTCAGCTGATCATTGTTGAAGCATCACGCATTCCATGGTTTGCCAGCTGAGAATCTAATAGATCATATAGAGAATTTGGAAGAGATTTACAGCACTATTAAGGCGAATGGAGTACCTGAAATTTTAGTTGTTATATATATTAGTGGTAGAGAAACAATTTATCAAGATAATTTTGGTTCATATATTCTATATACATATAAAATTATGATAAGTGTTAATAGATATTAATTGAAAAGTATTAAAGTTATTTATATATTTTGTAATTATAATATTTATTTTTTTAAAATATTTTATATATACTAATTTAAAATATTGTATTTTTAATTGTCAAGTCACAATCATGTGCAACTAAATGTTATTGAAAAAAAACTTCTCAAATCCTACTCAACAAAGCATTTTCCTATTGGCAACGGCGCCAAATTGATGTAGGTTCTTATCGTATCTCAATCCTCAACCTACATTAGTCATTGTAGTATTGAGTTTATCAATCCAAAAGGGGAAGATTGAAGTAGTGTAATAGAGTTTCTAATTCAAGCAGATAGAGAGAGTTTAAGTATCTAACAACCTAAATGATCAAACAGAACTAAAGCAAACATCAAACAAAGAGTGAACAACAAGCAAAACAACTAAAACATAAGCAAAAACAGAGAAAATTTGAAATAAACTACAACAGAGGAAATACAAAACTTGAGATGGGATCATTTGTGCTAGGGAACTCTCAACTCAACCTATGATGCTTACAAACTCATACAATGCTATTCCTTATGCATATAATTCATTTATAAGACTAATCCAATCTTTTTACTAATTACCAAGTAAAGAACTAATTCTCATTAGTGAAATGGTAAACAACAAGCATTCAGACAATCTATCAATTCTATATTGCCAAATCACTCCCTAGACAGTCAATCTCTTGAGCTAGGACAACCAATTCTCTTGCAAAGCAGGTCAGACATTTCATCAAACACTTGGTGGGCATAAAATGAGCCTAAGATCCTAATCAACTTAGCTAAAGCTAATCAGGTATTAAACACAACAATCAAGAAAGGAAATAGAAGAATTAACACTAAGCAACCATAGATCAAACATCAAATTCTCTAAACCTAACCCATCTCAAATCCCTAAAAATCACTACTCACTAATCACCATTGAAACCATCAAATCAAAGAGAAATAGATAGCTAATCATGATTAGAAAGACTAAATAAGAAGGGATGAAATCAACCAAAGATTCAAAGTACAAAATGTGATTAAGAAACTAGAAAACTAAGAAATGCTGGATAATAGGATGATCCAAAAAAATAGGGATTTTAAGTATTTATAGGAGTCTAAGCGGTGTGGCAAAATTGTAGATAAGTCGTCTTCAGTCTCGGTCAACATCAATCATCTATGATCGAAGTGGGTGGTCGATGTGAATTACATCGATCTGGCTTGCTCGATGTAGCTGATCGATGTGCTCCTCTGGACCTTGACATCAATCAGTTGATGATCGATGTGCTTGATCGATGTGAAAGTCTTGCCGCTCCTGCCTGTTTACATCGATCAGTCTTGGTCGATGCTGGTGATCGATGTAGGTGTCATGTGGCTTGACATCGATCACTCATGATCGATGTGAGTGATCGATGTGAACTCTGTTTATTTCTGCTCCTTTACATCGATCAATGTGGACTTTGCTGTGATCGATGCTAGGCCAAATCTCCATTTTCTTAACTCCTCTTGTTCCTCTTTGATTGGGGGAAC